GTGCGTGCGTGCGTGCGTGTGAGTGTGTGCGTGCGTGCGTGCGTGCGTGCGTGCGTGCGTGCGTGTGTGTTTGTTCTTATACTTTAGCGATGATGCTGCAGAGCTGCGGCCCATCCTGAGTTAAAGACAGGAGGTTACTAATGGCAGTGCTGATGGCAAAAACATTATTGGAATCCTCAATCTGACGAATCAAAATCTGTAAAAAAAGAGAATTAAATGTTACTAATGGATGACCCAAGTCACAGTCAGGTTTCTAGTTATAATACTGTACAGATAATTTTTTGTTGTTGTTGTTGTACATTTTTTGTTGTAAACAGGCCAGTTTCTTAAAGCAAGAAATTTTACATTGAGGCAGTGAGTAAAATCAGGCCATCTGTTCAACTTCATAGCATTAGAACTGCAGTTTTAGGATGAATATTATGTGAAAATCATTTGTTATTATATTGTATTATTTATGAATGATTCATGAAAACTTAAGCTGTAGCCGAAATAACTAAAACAAAAATAACATTCAGTAAATCGAATGATCCGTGAAGACCCATCTATTTAAGCTTCATGTAGTATAAGCCTACTCTTGCCTGTATCTCACTGGCCAGTGCCATGTCAATCATATGGCTAAAGGAGTCGCTGACGTCAGTAAGAATCTCGTGGATGGCCTCCTTCATAGATTTGAGGAAGTATTCATCCTCAGTATGAAGACACCTGTGGGGTAAACACTATCAGTTACACCTGAGCTGATCTTCAGTATGTGAACTTTAAGGTGATGAAAATAGGTGTAAGATGTTGCGTAAAGTTCTTCACCTCTCAGTAACGACATTCAGCTCCATGCACTTCTCCAGCAGTGATTTCTCATACTGCCACCAGAGATGACACACAGAATATCAAACGTTCAGTACTTTACAATATCAAGCTTTGCAGGGTGTGAACATAAACCACACAATTAAAAGAGAATAATCTTTAACTATAGGTTACATCTAAAATATAGTGTTTCTCTTTTGCTAATTATGGCTCCTTCAGCGTTCATCTATGGGATTTTTTTCTCCAGTTTTTTGGTTCAGCAGGTTGAAATGGTGAATATGATCACTCAGTAAAATACCAACACACTCTCCTCTACAGCACACATGATCTGAGGAATCATTCATGTCTGGTGCACAAACGCTGCAGGGATTTGTTCAAATCACTAACTCTTGAGCGTGAGTAAATGTAATAGTGACATTACTAACAATGGTCAAGCAGAAACCCAGTTATGAATCAGAAATTCTTCTTTACCCCTGCAATATCTTTTACAGGCGTTCTACTAACTCTTAGTAACTTTGCAAGTACTATACATGTCAACTAGCAGTCATTAGAGTGCTTAAAGGGTTAGTTCACCCAAATATGAAAATGTTGTCATTAATTACTCACCCTCATGTTGTTCCAAAAC